TGTGTGATGTGTGTGATGTGTGTGTGCTCCGTGTGTGCTGTGTGTGTGCTGTGTGTGATGTGTGTGTGATATGTGTGTGTGATGTGTGTGATGTGTGTGCTGTGTGTGTGTGATGTGTTGTGTGCTCCCTGTGTGCTCCTTGTGTGCTCTGTGTGTGTGCTCCGTGTGTGCTGTGTGATGTGTGTGCTGTGTGTGTGTGATGTCTGTGTGTGCTCCCTATGTGCTCCGTGTGTGCTGTGTGTGTGTGCTCCCTGTGTGCTCCGTGTGTACTCCCTGTGTGCTCCATGTGTGCTCTGTGTGTGTGCTCTGTGTGTACTCCCTGTGTGCTCCATGTGTGCTCCGTGTGTGCTCACTGGGGCCATGCCCCTTCACTGGGGCTGTCAAAAAAATGATAAAAGATCTTTTGGGGCTGATTTAAAATGTTCTGTAAAATGAGGTGTTTTCTTAGCTCTGGTTTTACATGCGGGGGCCAGAGAAGGGAAGAAATTGGGCTGGTTTCATTCCCCAGACAAAAAAAGAAAAAATGTTTTTGGGGGAAAACCCAGCAGTTTAAACAACATCTCTTTCAGTAACACCAGAGAAGTGAATCACAGAACAATAGAAACACAGAATTGCTTAGGTTGGAAAAACCTTTAAGATCATTGAGTCAAACCATTAACTGTCAAGGCCACCACTAACTGGTGTCCCTTGGCACCACATCTACATGTCTGTTAAATCCCTCCAGGAATCAGAGAGTCACAAAATGGTTTGAGTTGGGAGGGACCTTAAAGCCCATCCAGTTCTACCCTGGGTCTAGAAGGAAGACTCCTTCCACTAGACCACATTGCTCCAAGCCCTGTCCAACCTGGCCTTGAACACTTTCAATATTATTTTCTCCAGAGTTCTTCCTGCAATTTGGTTCTGAGGGTTTTTGTCCATCAACAAGCAACACTTTGTTCTGAGATACCCACACAGAGCATTTCTAAACAAAGTGGCATTACCTGTGAGCAGGTCTGCAGGAGAGGGGCATTGCTGCCAGGGGCTCTGGTGCTTGTTTCCTCCATGAGATTAACTCGTTCAAAGTGCCAAAACACAGCATAAGTTTAATTTGTGTGTGTCTGGATTTGTTGCTTGCATTCCTCTGATCCTCCCAGGTGTTTCAGGGCATGACAGCACTCCTGAGCATCTGTGGGATGTGTCGAGGTTTGCAAGGTTTATTTGTCTTCTGCAGAGAATTTCCAGAGTCGAAGTGAAAGACTGTAGCTGTTGTCACAAGTACTGCACTTCCTGAGGTGCCGGAGCTGGGGGAGTTTTCAGAGAAATGTGACTGACACCCAGACTGTCTTTATTGCTGCTTATTGCTAAAGCATTGCTAAGTGTGATGTGACCTGGCTGGAACGAGCAAGGGCTCAGCTCTGATGGAGGGAAATGACCAGCTGAAATGTAGCTCTGCACAGCAGGAAGGTTCTAAAAGGATGTGAAGACATGGGGGCAGCGGGACGGCAGCCCAAGGGAGGGGGCGAGGGCGTGTGCTCCCGCAGCGGGTGCAGCTGGGGTTAGCTGGGTTTCTCTTCCTTTTTCTGCCTTTCACAATCACACTGGGTTTGTGAGGGGGATGGGGAGCAGGGCTGAGGTGGGAGACAGGTGTCTGGGGGCTATGATGTGGCTGAAGGGATGGGGGACCCTGCTCCTGACTCCCTGTTCCCCAGCCTGCGCCGGTGTCCGGAGTTGCCGGCGTGGGCACAGAAGGGTGATGGGCTGGTGCAGCCCTGGCAGCCCTGGGGCCCCTCTCCTGGTGTCAGTGGGGCTGCAGGTGCCAGGGGACCACAGCACTGGGGCTGAGCCACAGCTCTGCAGTGGGGAGGCCACGTGCTCAGGGGTGTCCTGAACTGAGCAGAAACTCAAGAAGGGGACAAGAGCAGGTGCAGATCCCACATCAGCTGTAACCGGCAGCTCCTCATTCGGGCCCGACAGAATGTCACCACTTGGTTTTTTTAATTGGAAAACTGAATTAATCTGAACCAAGCTTCTGGATTGCTTGCAGAAGGTTTATTGTTCTCAGTGCAGTTGTCATTAGCAACTGTACACTAGCACTAAGGGTATGACTAATAGATCTTCTTTGAGTGATGGCAATGAAGAAGGAAGTGGACAGTGGTCACTGTGAGTGACAAGTTATGTGCCCTGCCCGTGCTTGCCAGGCTGATGCAGGGTGCCAGGATTTGGCATGGCAGTAAAATCACTGAATCACAAATGCCAGGATGATCCACCACTGCCCTGGGCAGCTATGCCGGGGGTTGACTCTTTCCTTTTCCCACTGGCTGTCATGGGAAGCAGCATCCTACCACCTGGAAAAGGTGTGTGGTGGGGCAGCGTTGCTGGTGACCGTTCCTCACCTGCACACGCTTCCTCTGTGGGTGTGATGCCTTGTGAACAGGGCGGCCCCTCAGTGCACCAAGGGCTGTTTGATCTGGGGAGCTGTTTTTATCCTCCACGCTGCAGTGACCAGAGCAGTTGGCAGGGCACGGGAGATGCCAACACTCTTCAGGAGCAGGGGTCTATCCTGCTCACTCCTCAGAAGAAGGGCTCTGTCCCATTCCAGCTGACAGTGGCACCTGCCCACTTGGTCCTGATTGCCATCTCCAGGGCTGGGCACCTCTTCCCTGGGCTGCAGGCGTCTGCACTTGGGGCCTCTTCCCAGTGATGCGAGTGAGTGTCTGAGGAGGAAATGCTGTTAAAAAAAAAAGTCTAAAAAACCCCAACCCCCCTCAAAAAGGTTTCGCTGAAGGTTAAAAGCAGAAGGTTCTGCAGCCACATGGGTGCAGATGTGCTGCTGCCCTGCCCCAGGGAGCTGGGGGAGCCTGGCAGGGCTCCCAGGCTGGGGCTGCCCTGGAGCCATTGGCCCCCCTGGAAATTCCGAGGGTGCTGTTTGCATGTTTGTTTTCTGAGCAGATGCACAGATAATATCGGTGGCCATGCTGGGTTTCATGATGGTGGATCCTGATTCACCTTTCCTTGCAGATTTACCCCTTTGTTCCAAGGTTCTGATCACTTTACCTGCTGCAGTGAAAGGAGAGCGAGGACGAGGGAGGCATTCATTGACGAAGGTAAGTGGTGCGTGGTGGCAGAGAAACAAGAATTTTGCACCCCAAGCACAAAGCCTGGTTCACAATCCAAGTGATGTTACAGGGGCAGTTCACCCTTCCTGGGTGGGATGTGGAACTTGGGGGGAAACACAAGGGCTGTGGTGGCACCTGGTGCTGTGCAGGAAAACAGAGACTTCAGCCTCAGTCAGCTGGTGAGAGCAGGAAGGTGACCCCCACGTGCCAGCCTCTCTGCGTTGGCATACTGGTTTTGTCTGGGGTGGATTCAACTGTCTGCCCAGTGGCTGGTATGGCACTATGTTTTGGATTTGTGCTGAACACAGGATTGATAATGTAGAGATGTTTTTGGTTTTGCTGAGCAGAGCTTACACAGTGTCAAGGCCATGTTGGCAAGGAGACTGGGGGTGCATGGGAGGTTGGGAGGAGGCACAAACTGACCAAAGGGATATTCCAGAGAATATGACATCATGCTCAGTACAAGTGGGGGGAAGAAGGTGGAAGGGGAGGATGTTTGGGTTGGTCTTCTAAGTAACTGTTCTGCAGGATAGGGCCCTGCTCTCCTAGAGCTGAACACCTGCCTGCCCATGGGAAGGAGTGAATGAGCTCCTTGTTTTGCTTTGCTTGTGTGCACGGCCTT